GTAAATGGGGCCCAAATGGGGCTCCCATTTACTGAAATACCATGAATTTCGATCCCCCATTCCAAACGTGAGTACCCCAGGCCATTTCCGTTACATTATGTTTTAATGTACGCAAGTGCAGATTTCGGGATCAACTTAGTCACGCCCGAGCCGATTTCGAGCTCAACTCTAATCCGCTAAGTTTACTAGAACGTTTACTCTTAAAATAGTACCCTCGAAACCAATATATTATTTTGCGCTTGCATTGTGCTGCCTCTGAGTGGATGTAAATTAGATGACTGAACCCAGCTGATGGGAGCTAATTGGGTCGAAACGGCCCTCGAAATTCCTGGAATTAGCCCATCTCAAAATAATCTGCTTTAGCTTACATCAAAAACTCGTAATTGTTCTGTTGCTGACGAGTTGACGATTGAAAGTTGTTCAATAAAGTATTATATTAGTTCTATTAAAAATTAGGAGCCATTTTTATTAGTTTGCTAAGGTGTTTTCCTTATATGTAGAAACCTCCAGCATCCTAGTATAGTGAGGCTGCACGACAGCATAAAAGAAGAAAACTTTCAGTATTTTGTTTTTGATTTGGTAACAGCGGCGAGTTGTTCGTAGACATTGCAGCAAGGGAATTTTATTTCGTAGTATATAGATGCCTCCCATTTTACATAGATATATCAAGCCATAAAATCTGCTTCTGGCCAGCAAAGTGAATCTCCCCTTTAGAAAAGGTTTTGGGACTATGAAAATCAAAATATTTATTTGCAAATTTATTTATTTTTATATTTAAGTTGTACTCTTACATCAACAATATACATTATTAATTACATCCTTTCAAACCTAGGAATGAGATCTCACTTGTCCTTAACAATAAAATATATTTTGCACAACTACAACTACCAACGCAAACAACAATAAAACTTCACATTAGAATTTCTATATTTATACAATCTGCTTCGTTTTGAAAAATGTCAATGTTACATTAAGTTATAATGTTTGTTATATTGGAGAAACTGAATTTATCATGCAACAAAACATTTAATTTAAAATTTCCCTCTTTTCCAAATTTCAGTAGTTATTTATCTTTACCTACTATTTCTCGGTAGACTAAGTTTTCGGCTTAAACCTAGACATGTAAAATTCGCAATCTTTACAATACACATTTAACGCTACAACATTGTTCTTTCTACATAAACTGCATTTAGTTTTGTCCGTGGGAATGCTGTTGTTAGCATTGTTCACTACGATAGGCGTAATTATGGCTTTCGGAATTGGAGACTCGCAACCTTTAGTCCCGGGTTGAAAACTCACAGTCTTTTTAAACATATGCTTTGGAGAACGTGCCCGATAATGTGACAGGTTGGTTTCTGCAGGATAAATAGGCTCGCCCGTATGTGGCTGCGGTACCCTCTGATATACATCCATTCTTCCTGGATGCAAAACTTGCTTCTGATATTGCTGTAAATCTGAATGAATATTCTGAGGGTGATCGTTTAAAGGGGGAATTCTTTGGTATGACGAGTTCGGGTTGCATATATAGGGATTCTGATGAGAATTATTGCAAGAATTTACAGACGGCACAGGTGATGCGGAAACAGTGAGATAACCCGATGGACTTGGAGTAGAATAGCGCACATTCGGTTGGCTATGAGTAGTGGTTCTCGGTGAAGATGAATAAGAGTAATTGTTATTGATATTTTGATTGTTTCGCATCGTTTGACGAGTAGCTCCATATACATTGGGTTGCATAGGATTGTGTGGAATTGATTGATATGGAGATTGGCGAACCCGCTCAGTTGCTCTGTAAGCATGTGGAGGCAAATGTGAATATTGACTTTGGTGAGGGGCAATATTTTCGAGCATACGCGAATTTTGATCATACTGAACGGGCTGTTGATGTTGAACTTCATGATACGGAACTTCGGCATACTGCGACTGCCTAATGCACTGCACATTGCTTTGCTCGCAGTTTGACTGATGGTTTGCAGAAATAAAGTGTTCGGGTAATCGGGGATCTAAATATTCATTTTGAGGCTGTTGGTGATTACCATTGTAATTCTGAATTTTGTTTTGTGTGTTGTGATATTGATAATTTTGATTCATTTGACCATAGCCGTTATATGGATAATAGTGTTCGTCCGAGTTCAGTTGTGGTAAATTTACGTTTTGCTGATATGGCTGATGTGATTGAGGTAAAGACAGAAAACGTTGCTCAATTGGTATTTCCCCGTTATAAAGCATCTGATGCGGAAGTCGTGTACTGGTCTCTTGTAACAAGTTTTCTAGTGAGTTCCTTCGTAATGGCAATGTTTGTCCTTCATTCATTGCTATTATTTCCGGGGTGAGGGTTGTTGGTTTTGAACTCGCTAATTTAGGTGATTGTGGAACAATAGAAGGAGATTGATTAATGCCATTTTTATCTCTCAATGCCATTAGTTCTTGTCGTATAGCAGTAGTTTCAGGATTATTAACCGCAGATCTTAGCACCCTTTCTAAAATAGGATTTGGAATATAAGTTTCTTCTTCTTGATCCTCTGCTGTGGCTACCAGTATAACCTGGTCGCAAAATGAAACGGATTTCTTTTTTTGATGCCTTAGTTTTTTACTTTCATCTGAATTTTCTGGCTGGTCGTCTCCAAATACTTTATTAACAGCAGATGTGATCATTTCAACTTCTCGAATTTCTTCAGCAATTTGTTCCGGTGCAATAGTATGGTACTCATTGTTCTTAAACATAGGTTGACTGTTCGTATTGACTGCTTTTGGCAAAGTTGCCTGGTGTCTTAACTGCCCATTACTAACATCTAGTACATTTTCAAATTTAGAAGCCAAGTCTTTAACAGATTTTACTTTATTTTCACCTGTTGCAAATCGCTGAGTATTGACTTCGTCTCTCCCTCCATCAGAATTGCTTACATTTTCATTAAGTTTTGTTCTCAAAACAGCTTGCTTAGCCTGAAGTTCCTTCAGCCAAGTATCTCCGGTGGATCGAACGCTATTTTGAGGATAAATGTTTGGCTGCTTTAGCACTCTATTATCATTCTCATGGGTGAGAATTTGCAATCTTTTATTCTGCAGTTGACCTAGCAAGGTTTCGGGTTCCTCTTTTAGAGAACATTGTTCTTTTAATTGAACTTGTGGGAGGTGTTCATCTAAAACTGATAAGTCCAACGGTGGAGGTGGAGGTGGAAAATCCTCACTAGCCTGTCGGGAATGAATAGCCGATCCACTTGGACTAGGATAAGGAGGTAGGTCCATTAATGGTGCCCATTGAGAGGGGCAACAGTCCACTTCGTCCACTCCACTGCTGACATCAGCGTTGGCCGATTGCGCACTATGTTCATGATGCACTTCTGCCTGGGTAATAACAATATGCGATGAAGGCGAATATGAATCATCATCATAGGAACTGTTTGAATGTCCGTAGTATGGCAGCGACATGGATGATTGTTCCTCCTGAGGTTGGTTAAAAGGAGCTAAATTATGGTAAATATTAACATCCCCGTAAATGTTAAACTGACATTTATCGGCCACTTCTGATATATTCGACTTAGACCGGCTAAGTTGAGAAGTAGTCCGTAAAGGTGGAGGTGGGGGCACTTTGGCTACGGTAAGAATTTTGCCGGCACTGCCATGGAAGCTTTTTCTCATCAATTTACTTCGCTCAAGATTGGGATTGGATGTGGCACCACTGACTTCTAGATGGCCTTCGGAAACATATCCCGTCATGCCTTGATTTAGTGTTTTTGGACTGGCTCTAAGACCAACGGTCGTGTCATCGGCAGATCGAGGACATTGACATTGATCTTCAGCGTTAGAATCGGTTAAATCAGGCAGACTTTTGTTTTTCCTTCGTATTAATCCACCCATTAAAAGCTTCCTTCTTATTTTGTGTTGCTTTTTATTTTTTCCTTCTTTATCTTTTTTTTCCTCTTTGATTTCCTTCGCTTTCTTCAGAGTATCTTGGGCAGCTCTTAGATCTGGCGCAATTGAAAAGTCCCCTCTATTGATTTTGTTTCTGTCTTCACTCCGCGATCGCTTTTCTTTAGATTTAGTGTCTTTATTTTTGGATCTAGAAAATATTAACCGAGATTCTCGCCCAGGGGCCTTAACATATATCATATTTTCTTCGTCATCTATGTTAATGTCATTTATTTTTGCTTTCAGCACATCCTTTCTTTTAGGCAGTGTTGCGTATATTTCGATGCTCTTAATTGGTTTCGACTTTTCTTTGTCTTGTTGGAGAAGTAATTCTCTGCTACTTTGCCTGGAGTGATGTCCTTTATCTTTAGAGTTCTGTCTCGAATGCCGCCCGCTTCCACTACTGCCTTCGCGCGTGTGTCGGATCTCTAAAGAACTTTCTTTATTCTGTGGTTGCATTTGCGTCATTCGCCTATGTAGACTTCTAGCGCGCATTATACAAGTATTGTGTTTCATCCGTGCTAGAGTCAAAGTTTGTGGATTATTATATGGAGCATTCATAGCAGCTCTAGCTTTGGTTGCCGCGGCATTGCACAACGCCAAAGCCAAAACGAGATCATGAGCGTCCTCCAATTGTCGAGACTTAATAAGAAGCTCATCAGCTTCATCACATAATACATCACAGCTCAGTGCGTTTTGGTTTTGAACCATGTTGCTATAATCTTCAGGAATTTGAGCCAGATGGCCACTCTTCATCATATGTTGCACTGTGTTCATATTGGTGCTGTCATTTGATGATAATGAGTACGAATCGTATCCAGCATCGTAGGCTCCATTTCCATCACCTTTTGTTCGATTCGGACTTCCTGGTGGCACTTTCCCTACTAAGTACAAATATGGATTTTCCATAGTAGTGGATGAAGCAGACGAAGCACTGTTCCGGTCCCTACTCCAGTTACCACTGTCCCTTCTTCGAGGTATGTTTAGATGGTCAGGAATGCAAACGCCCGATTCAACTCCAGATGAAGAACCATTACTTAATGTTCTGTGTATATTCACTGTAGGGTTTTCACTATCTGTAGATTTCCTGGTAATATATTCCAGTGATTTTTGAGCACATTCATCAACTTGATCAAATCCTATCGAGTCTTTTGGTATGTTAATATTCTTTTGAATAACCGAAAGATTTTGGTATTCGTTGTACGACTTCGGAAAAGGAGGTTTTTGACTGAGTGTAGAGCTCTCGGGATTGGGTGTTATGGCGCGCCGAGTGTTTCCCACAATCGGTTTCTCAGGGCTGGGTGTAATAGACCTTCGTAAAAGTTGTTGATTTCCCATTGGTAATGGAGGCTTGTTCTTATCCGTGTAAAATGGAGTATTCGATTTAGGCGCGTACTCCGCATTCACAGGGGTCCCATCAGGAGTCGCATAAAGTAGTAGTAAAGGTTGGAACTTTCCCCTTCTGCATTTTTCTACTACTTGCTCCCATCGAGGTCCAACGTCTCTTACTGTAGCGTCGTCTAAGAAAATCCATTCCATTAACTTGGTGTGGAAGAAAAAGGTGGAATAATGTTTTCCGTAATAAGTGACCATGCCAACTAAATTATGAGTAGTGGTTTCTGCCCATCGAGAATCGGTCACTGTACTGAAAACGTCTTTCAGTTGAAGCGTAGTATTCACACAGGAGAAAACTTCCATGATATGGTCTAAACTAGGCTTCTCTGAATTCCACACCAATCCAATTGAAACGATTTCCGGACAGTTCATCAGTACTCGACACATTTGAGTAACAGAACCACAGGATGCCTGAAAAGATATCAAAAATTAATTTGTATATGTATTTTACTTATACTATAGCCTAGACTACTAATAAATATTTCACAAAATATTTGAAATTATTGCAAATTTCCTTAGTTCTAATGTTAAGGAATATATGGAGTTATTCACAAAACACTTTGATAATAAACTGTTTGATTGATATACTAATCAGTTTCCAAATAATCGGAAAACGTTCCAGTTCTTCAACTATATATTGAGGCCTCTAATTGGTGTAACTTTTAAATCATATGCAAGAAATGCATATCGCTGTGTTCAAATAACATTTAAACAATGGATACAGTTATTGCCCAAGTTTACGTTTCAATGCTGAATTCCTGAAACGGTACGCCCTTGTAAAAGATTCCCGTTAAGGTCCCAAATCAGCCGTGTCTGTCGGGCCAATTGGGAATCTTAGACACCCCGCTAAGAGGTACAACTGCTCGAATTTCATGACAAGCGTGAAAGCCTTGATGCAATTGGTGATTATTTTCGTTTCCAAGTAGTTCACTTAACAGAATGCACTATATACTAAATGTCTACTACAAAGGGCATTGCGAAATCAGAAGGGAACAATTGACTATTGAGCAAAAGGCAAAAACATAACTGTGCTCGGCTACTCTTTTCACTATTGAAAGTTTAAGTCTTTGAAGCGACCACCCAACAGAGCCGAGCACAGAGCGTGGGAA